AAAAAAAAAAAAAAAAAAAAAAAAAAGGTAAGAAACAGGAAAGAAGGCACTTTGTGGAGTAGAGATGAAAGGGACCTAGGGATGGGGGAGATGAGAGAGGGAGTGGAGCAGAAAGGAAGTAAGGACTATGATACGATAGGTATATGTACCCATTATATATCACAAATATGTATTAATTAAAAAATAAAAATAGGCTATATCATAGCATAAGGATGTAGCAGGCTACACCATCTAAAGCTGTGTAAGTATGATGTTCACACCATGAGGAAATTACCTAGCGTTACATTTCTCAGAACATCTTCCTATCAAGGGATGCATGACCATGTATATTTATATCTATCTACCTTTCAATGTAATGTAATAATATAAATATTATAATATATATTTATAATATAAAATGAGATTTGTTATATGGAATTTATTAAAATATTACTCTTAAAAATTAATTAACTGAGCTACATCTGTATTTTATAAGGAATTTACAAAAATATTTCTAAGGTACATATAAGCCTGTTTGCCCATAATATTCATTTGCCACATGTGGAGAAACTGTTCTTGCTCTCTTTGGGGGGGGTGTGAGGGATCAAATTTGGGTCCTTGCACTTGCAAGGCAGGTGGCAGAACCACTGAGCTAAATCCCCTGCCCTCTCCCTCCCTCCCTCCCTCTCTCTCTCTCTCTCTCTCTTTTGGGTTTTTTGAGGCAGGTTCACACTATGTAGTTTATTATTGTTTTGTTTCGTTTTTTGGTACTGGGGATCGAACTCAGGTCCTTGCGTTTGCAAGGCAGGCGGCAGAACCACTGAGCTAAATCCCCGGCTCTGTAGTTTATTATTATTATTTTTTTTTAGCAGGGTCTCACTAGGTAGTTGAGACTGACTTGGAACTCACTATGTAGCCCAGGCTGGTCTCAAACTCACAGCGATCCTCCTGCCTCAGCCTCCCGAGTGCTGTGATTACAGGCGTGTGCCACCATGCCTCTCTAATTGTTCACTTTTTTGATGTAAGCACTAGTAACAAAAGGGTAGTAGAGTTCTGTCTATGACTGAAACAAGTTTCCAGATCTTTTTACCATGCCAGGAATGGTGGTGTACATCTACAGTCCCCCACTTGGGAGGCTGAGATAGGAGAATCACAAGTTCAAGGTCAGCCTGGGCTACATAGTGAGTTCAAGGTCTGGCTGAACTACACAGTGACACCCTGTCTCAAAAACCAAAACAAACCCCAAAACAACAAAAAATCTTTCACCACAGAACTTACAAAATACATAAAAAATGAGGTTACAGAAAGAAGAATTGGATAGAGGAGGATATACTGAGAAAAGACAGACTTGGATAAAATATGAGGGAAATGCATCTTTCCAAGCAGGGGACAGTAGAGAAACTAAAGAGATCAAGGAATGTAAGGGAAAAGATTTACCTGGAGAGACTGAAGGGGGTCCGGTGGCAGCCTGGGTGGCTGGAAGGCTGCTGTCATTCTGCACCTGAAGATACAGGTCCGTACTTAGACCCTGCTCACCACTATACTCCTTGACTTGATCTGCCCTCCTTCCCCACTATCAGACCAGTAAACTCACAGTTTTAACTTGGAACTCTATGTAGCCCAGGCTGGTCTCAAACTCACAGCGATCCTCCTGCCTCAGCCTCCCGAGTGCTGTGATTACAGGCGTGTGCCACCATGCCTGGCTAATTGTTCACTTTTTTGATGTAAGCACTAGTAACAAAAGGGTAGTAGAGTTCTGTCTATGACTGAAACAAGTTTCCAGATCTTTTTACCATGCCAGGAATGGTGGTGTACATCTACAGTCCCCCACTTGGGAGGCTGAGATAGGAGAATCACAAGTTCAAGGTCAGCCTGGGCTACATAGTGAGTTCAAGGTCTGGCTGAACTACACAGTGACACCCTGTCTCAAAAACCAAAACAAACCCCAAAACAACAAAAAATCTTTCACCACAGAACTTACAAAATACATAAAAAATGAGGTTACAGAAAGAAGAATTGGATAGAGGAGGATATACTGAGAAAAGACAGACTTGGATAAAATATGAGGGAAATGCATCTTTCCAAGCAGGGGACAGTAGAGAAACTAAAGAGATCAAGGAATGTAAGGGAAAAGATTTACCTGGAGAGACTGAAGGGGGTCCGGTGGCAGCCTGGGTGGCTGGAAGGCTGCTGTCATTCTGCACCTGAAGATACAGGTCCGTACTTAGACCCTGCTCACCACTATACTCCTTGACTTGATCTGCCCTCCTTCCCCACTATCAGACCAGTAAACTCACAGTTTTGTTGGGTGCCTGCTGGGTGCTATACTCTGGGTTGGGCTCACTGAAGTTAGGAACCTCAGAATAAACCATACAGAATCTGCAAAGGGAGAAAATAGCCAAAGCCTTGAACCCATCCTCTAGGCCACTGCTGATGGTCCCAGGAAAGTCCAGATGCAGGAAGTCTTTATGTTTCCTCCTTGCAAGCCTTAACTTCCCCCTGCCCCAAGGTGCTACTGCTTCATTCCAATCCTCAAGATAGCACTTACTCTCCAATCTTCTGCAGATCACCCCCGCGGCCAGTGTACAGTGTCAGGCAACCTTTGAACACTGAAGCATATCTGTGGGGCAAGAAAACAAGATTCCACGTCCTCAGGAGAGTTATAGGGACTACTAACCCCACCCCTCTTGACGTTCCTGCCCTTGGTTTGCAGGAATCACCAGCTGCCTGACCCTTTGGTGAGTCGGATAATATCTCCAGGTTGGATCAGGTTGCCCACATCGTCCCAGACAGAAATATTGATGCTGCCTGTTTTGTCAGCCACTTTGCAGGTTCGAACCTCGTGCCCGTCCTTTGTCTTGGTCACTCGGCCTGGAGTGAACAGATAAATGGGTGTGAAGATGGCCAGACAAATGGGGGTGGTGGCAGTCAGAAGGATGAGATCTGGGTATTGATGGGTTAGGTGAAAGCTGTATGCCCAACCTGTGGGGCAGGAGGGACTGGAGGTGCGTGTGTGTTGGCAGTGGCGGGGCCAGCACCATGGAGAGGGCCTTGAGTGGAAAGAGGCCCGCGTGGCACTGGAGGCACCGGTCTGGCCAGAGTTTTATGTATGCTGTATCCGACTGCAAGTCAGCCGGGGTCTAGGAGAGACAGGAAGTAGGCAGTGTCTTGGGAAACAAGCTGCCACCGCTGGAGCAAGTTAAGAATGCATAAGGTATTCTCCCCCTCCCATCCATTCCCTACCACAACACACTGCGGGAAACACGCTGCCCCAAATATAGCCACCTGTCTCCAGCACAATGAAGATAAGGTTCAGATTCTTGAGTCCGGGCTTGATATCCTTCACGAAGGTCTCCGTAGTCATGCTGCTCGAGCCTGGGTACCCCACTGGAAGGGGGAAGAGGGGTGGAAGGCTCAAAGCTGAGAGCCTTTGCTCCCATGCTGCACTTCCCAAGGCCTACCTACCACACTAAACTGGGATAGAGCAGCCTCGGCCCCTCTAGCTTTATGCAAGGTTAGAAGCGAACTTCCCTAGGGGCCTAGAACTTCAATATTAGAATTTGGGGGTCTCCGGATGAGATGCTTCGGGACTGGAAGGCCCCCTGTCAGGATGCTCTTTCAGTCTCACGCTCCTAAGTACGGAGCCGACAGAGACGGGTGGAGAATCCAGTGCAGATCCAAGGAATGGAATCTTACTTGCCAAGCCTTCCCGAACCCTTATCCGAACGAACCCCAGGCTCGATCCATTTCCTCCCCCACCCACAGCCCACCACCCACCCAGTCAGCCGGCTGGACTGTGCACGCTGCTGGGCCGCCCGTAGGGGGAGCCACAGGCTCTGCTGGCACCGGATGCTATCCAGTAGAACGCCTGAATGTGGACGTTCACCGGAAATTTCCCTCGTGATCTCTTCCGACCAATCAGAATCATCTGGGCGCGCACCGCGTCCCGCCACCCGCTTTCCACCCAGCCAATTGGGTTCGGAGATTTACCAGCCGCGAGGGGGTGGTTTTCAGGTATTAAAGGAACCCGGGAGATGGTGGGCGCCGCACTGGAAGAGAGGATTCCTCCGACACCAACTTTTCTTTATTGGCCTAAGAGAATGAGTTTAGGCTCTGTTTTTCTCTCCAGGTAGTGACAGAGGGAAAGGACAAAAGGCTTTAGAACCCAGAGGACAAGTTGGAATCACAGATCAGCCCTTCACTTTCTTCCTAACAATTCTCAAAGATGGAATTCTATTTTACTGATGAAAAAATGTAAGTTAAATCGGTTGTGATGGTGCATACCTGCAATCCTACCACTCAGGAGGCTGAGGCAGGAGAATCGCCACGAGTTTGAGGCCAGCCTGGGATACACAGTGCGTTCAAGGCCAGCCAGAACTACATAGCGAGACCCAGTCTCAAAAAACAAACACAAGAGCTGGGGATTTAGCTCAGTGGTTCTGCCGCCTGGCTTGCAAGTGCAAGTTCCTGAGTTCGATCCCCGGTACCCACTCACCCACTCACACAAAAGTTATATAAAGAGCAATGCGTAAGACGCAGCAGGCACTTAAAAATACGTTTCCTCTTTTCTCACTTGCTCCAAGCTTCATCTCTAATGCAGTACTCAATTCGGTCAAAGCTTCTGGAACAAGTGGCACGCACACCAGACACAGACAAAAGGCAGATTCTACCCCTTTTGGAAGAATAGATCCTGGGACAGGAAGGGTACTAATTTGTCCCTCTTATTAATTTGTAAGGTACCTGCTCTACTGACCTTATTTCACTATATCTCATAATCCCTTCAGAGGAAGACAGACTGGAACATTTAGTTGCCTTGGGGATCGTCAGATTGTCAACAAAAGGTAGCTACTATTGTATGTAAACCAATTACATAAAGATATATTAACGTGCATCATAATTTGCTTAGTGAATATCCGTAACAAATACCATTTAATACCAGATTAGTCTGGGGGGTCATGTACTTGTAATGCCTTGGCTTGCTTGGAGCGCTTTAGGCTCCACCACGACCTAGGTAGGAACCTAGGTTCTCTCTTCCGCTCACATCTCCAACCTCGATGCTGCCGTCCAAAGAAATCAGACCAGGGGTTTCTCTCCCTTATCTCCCCTCAGTGTTTCAGGGTTCTCTACGGCTGTTTGAAGCGTCACCGTGGATAGGGCAGAAAGAGTGACTGGGAGAGAGCGGCCAATCCGTGAAGCACCTAGCTTTGGGGTAGACACTCCCCCACTCGCCACCCCGCCGCCTCCTTATTAACTGCAGTATCCATTCCCATGACCGTGAGTCACAGGGTCGGGAGGCTCTGGAAACTGAGAGGGTCAAGGAGGATGGTAAGTTACGCTGCAAGTTAGCTGCCCTGCGACGCTGTCAAACAGCTCCGCACCAGCTCTAGGACATAAGACACGTGCGCCCCCTTCAAAGCGAAGGGCCGCCTTCCGGGGCCGTCAACTCCAGGTCGCCCCGCTCTTTCACGCGTTGAGGAACAGAGTGCGCCTTCCGAACGGCCATAGAGTCCAGGCTGGGACCACGGGACTTCCGGTGTGGAGCGCAGGCCGCTCCAGCCTCCGAGGCTCCCAGAGCGCAGCCTGCAGCTTCCAGGCTAGTCGCCTTTAGGAAGGAGGCGGGCTTGGTGACGGGCTTCCGCCGGGTTGCGTAGCAGCAGTGGGCGGGGTGTAGGATCTGTCTGAGACGGCGACGGGTAGCTGGGACCTACTTACCCCTCCTTCCCCTTCCCCTTCCACTCCCGGGAAAGGTTGGGACCTGGCACCGGGGCTGTTCGGTGGCTGCTGCGGCCTCAGCTCCAAACGGACCGGGGTACGGAAGAGTCCAGACCGCGTCCCGGGCGGTGCGTACTGCGCCTGCGCGAGCTTCCGCCTAACCGAGGATGTGGGAGTGGAGGGGCGAGGTCCCGGGGGGATTGAGGCGAGGGGCTGAGATACTGGGGCTCCGAGAAGGGGAGGAGTAAAGATGAAAAATGGAGCGAGGGAGCTTCGCTGGGGAGGAGTTGGGAGGTGAGAAGGGCGTCGTGGAGGTTGGGTTGTTGGGGAAGGTCCACCGTGGTGGGGGAGCCTTGAGAAGTGCGGGAGGGGGACCTGGGCCGGCGAGGGCCAGGGGAAGCGGACGTTTGGGTGGGGGGACAACGAGCTGTTTAAATGGGCAGTGGCTGACGGCCTGGAGGGGAGGAAGGGAATATTCCGGGGAACCTGAACCTCCGCCCTCAAAACGCCATAACTTGGCTCCTCTCCCATGCCTTGTCTTTGGCAGCCTTATCGTTCTCTTTTATTCTCTTTCATTCGTTCCCCGCTCCTCTTCCCCTCACACCCCTCCGTGAAGGAATCCCTCACTCTTTACATCCTTGCCCTTGGTTTACAGCCGGGCCCGCTCGCACACTTCACACATAAGAAAGACTGCTCCAAACCGGGACGTGGGGAAATCCGGGTTGGGGAGAGGGCGGAGAAGAAGCCTGAAAGGCGAGAGAGGTGTAGAGCGTTTTGACCGGGGGATTGGCGAACACCTTTCCCATTAAGAAACTGACTTCATTTCACCTGTAAGCAAACGTGGCTATTCCTCAGGCCACTGCTCTTGGATATTGATCTGTGATAGTCTTATCCCTTACTATACGGTGACAACAAGGCAAGAAGCTGATAATGTTGCTGGCTGCTCGTCTTCCCTCTAGCAGGATTGGGTGGGCTAGTGGTAGGAATGTGATGCAATAGTGTTACTGCTCTGTGTCCAGTCGGCCTTGTGGCCCAGCCTGGTTTCCAGTAATTGAAAAAGAAGGAACAAACTTTTTTCAGCATTTCCTCTGTTGTCAGGAGTTAGAGCGTGAGAGAAATGGGGAGATGTTGTTCAGAGATTATTAACTTTGTTATATAGTAGATAAATCCTGATGATTTAATGTGAAGCATGGTGATTATGGTTAAAACTGTATTGTTTTCCTCGTTTGCCGAGTAAGTCATAAGTGACTTCCCCATACACACACATACACGCAAATGGTAACTGTGGTGAATGTGTTACTAGTGGTAATCATTTGATGTTTTGGAAATCAAAACATCAACTTTTATATTTCATATATATATATATATATATGTGGTTATAGTTATACCTTAAAATTAGTAATGATAAAAAATTTTCTCTGGCCCTCACTTTATTTTATTTTATTTATTTCTTTATTTTTTGTACTTAGGATTGAACTTGGGACCTTGCACTTGTGAGGCAGTTGGCAGAACCACTGAACTAAATCCTTGGCCCCTGGCCCTCACTTTAAATTTATAGCATTTTGCTATTCTATTGCTAAAAGTAATACTTTATCTGAGCATAACAGTATTGAGTATGCTTTTACATTATCTCATTTGATTCCCAGGACAATAAATAAGGTAAATAAAGCAGGTGTCATATTCTTTACTTGACAGTTGAAACTGAAAACTACACAAGGGTTATATGGCTTGCTTATTTTGTTTTTATTATTTAAACATTTTTAATTTTAATTAATTTATTTATTTGGTACTGTGGATCGAACTCAGGACCTTGCATTTGTGAGGCAGGCACAGTGCCACTGAGCTAAATCCCTGTCCTTAAATGTTTTTATTAAAGTTTGTAGTACATAATAAATACATTCATCATGGGCCAGGGATTTAGCTCAGTGGTTCTGCCACCTGCCTCAAAAACGCAAGGTCCCAAGTTCAATCCCCAGTGCAAATCCTTTTTCCTTTTCCTTTTTGAGGCAGGGTCCTGTTGTGCAGTTCAGGCTGGCCTTGAAGTCATCATATAGCCCAGTTTAGCCTGGAATTCACAGCAATCCTCCTGTCTCAGCCTCCTGAGTGCTGGGATTATAGGCTGGGACTAAGGTACGCATTCACCACCACATCTGGCACCCTTTCTTCTGTCTTTCCCTGTACTCAGATCCCCTTTCCATCTCACAAAGTCTATTACCCTATTTATTTTATTTTATTTTATTCAAAATTTGAAACACAATCTTGCTAAGTTGCTCAATTGTCTGGGCTGGGCTCGTACTTATGATTTTTCTGCTACAGATTTCAAGAAAGCTGGGATCACAATTGTGTTCCACCGTACTATATGAGCTTGCTTAAAGTTGTCTAGTTGGTTGGTGGTAGAGCTAGCACTAGAATCCAAGCCTTCTGACTTCTGTTCTTTGGCTCAGTTGAAAAATTCTATTTTGTTTTGGTCAAGGGGGCACTAAAGTAGGATTAGTTTTCCTGATGGGCAGCTGTTTGCTCTCTGGAACTTGTCACTAGAAGGAGACTGATCATAGCCAAAAGCAGTGGTTCCTAAAAGCATTTCTTGAGGTACAGGTACATGTACCAAGCTGTTGGAAAAGGAGATGTTGTTCAAAAGAACGAAATGTTATATCCTTTTATGTATCATGGATGGGAAAGGAAGTACTATTGGGAAATCACATCACCCCCTCACTGTTCCATTGGACCACAGGGAAGCAAAAATGTGCCTGATACTTTTCTCTCTTATTAGTATAAAAAATACATTCTAAACATACTGTGTGAGGTGAATATGGTAAATTTATGAGCATATGTACCAGACTCAGGAGAGGAAGTGGTATTTGTATTATGTATAAAAATCATCATTATTGTCCTATTTTATCCTAACACAGCTCTTAAACTATTGGAAAGGAGAATAGTTGCTGTTCTCCTGTGCATAGTTGAATAGCTCTCACAGTACCCTTCATCCAAAGCCTTCTCTTCCTCTGCTTGGATGCTTGGATTGGTCAGCCCAATCTTACTGTTCTCTAGCATTCCAAGTTGCCTGCCCTGGAATAATTTCCTCACTGCTTCTTAATTTTTTAAAAAAAGCCTGTCCCCTCAAGAATATTTCCTGACTTGGGAAGTAGAATTGCACCTGTGACAACACTCTTGTGTTTCTCCATAGGAAATAGTATTTTTGCTGGGGTGGTGGCGCATAGCTGTAATCCTAGCATGCAGGAGGCTGAGGCATGGGGATCACTGTGAGTTCCAGGCTGGCTTGGGCTACATAGTGAGTTCAAGTCCAGCCTGAACTACACAGTGAGACCTTGTCTCAAAAAAATAAAAGTATTTTCTATTGGAATGTATGACATGAAACAATTTATGTAAAAGCACTTTGGAAACATTAAGGCATCATACTGTAAGTGTAAGGTATTATTATTATTAATCTCTGTATTGTGTAGCCATGGACTTGGAATGATTTATGTTACTTGTAGTAATTTGTGCTGAATAAAATTTGTTTTTTCAGCCAGGTGTGATGGTTTATAACTGTAATCCCAGCATAGGGAAGGTTGAGGCAGGAGGATTGACATGAGCCTGAGGCCAACCTGGGTGTCATAGTGAGTCCAAGGCCAGCCTAGACTACATAGCAAGGCCCTATCTCAAAAAAAAAGAAGAAAGAAAAAATGCAAAATGAATTTTAAAAATATTTCCCAATAGCTTTTCTTTTTATCCTTAGGTACTGGGGATCAAACTCAAGACCTTGCGCTTGTGAGGCCACTGAGCAGACTCCCAATAGCTTTTCTGTTCAACTTTGTTCTTTTCTTCCCCCACCCAGCTATTTGTTTGTTTGAGACAGGGTCTTGCTGTGCAGGTCTGGCTGGCCTTGAACTCACTGTGTAGCTCAGGCTGGGCTTGAACTGACTGACAGTCCTCCTGCCTCAGCCTCCCTTGTGCTGGGATCACAGCATGCCCCACCACGCCTGGCCTCCAGCTGTGTTTGAATCTCCTGGACTATGGGTGTGACAGTTTAGCCAAAGGCTTCCCTCCCTCCCTTGAGGGCAGTCCTGCTTGCTAGCCCTGAAACCTGTAGCCCTTTTAGGAGTTGTCTCTTCCTCCCAGCTGGCTGGCCTCTGGCCAGATCCAGGTCTTTCCAATCGTGTGGCCAAGTGGAGGTAGCTCTCCTGACTCACCTTTCTTTTCCGTGTTCCTTTTAATAGCGTGCTCCTGATTGTGACAGTGCATCTCTTCCTTGGTGATGGAACTTGTCATTAGGAAGGAGGACATGGTTGGAGTGTAGCCAGCAAGATGGGTTTCTTGGAGGAGCCCCTGAGTGGAACTGAGTGGCGGCAGCAGGGGCTCAGAGCCTTGTGAATAGGGAGCCTGCCCCCCAACACTTGGAAGGTGAGCACTTTCATTTGCAATATGGCTCCAGGCTTCACCTCTTTTCTCTGCCAGTGGGGGGTCCTTCTGCCCTTGAAAACCTGATTTCTAAAGCTTCCCTGTAGAAAGCTCTCTGTTACTCGCATTCTCTTGTTCTTTTAGCATACGTGTGTCTCATATTAATTATTATTAACTTGTTGATAATTGCTTAGTTTTATGTTCTTTTTTCAGTTTTCTTTTTTGAGACAGGGTCTGAAGATATAGTTCAGGCTGGCCTTGAACTCACTATGCAGTCCAGGCTGGCCTTGAACTTATGGGAATCCTGCCTCAGCCTCCCAAGTTCTGGGATGACAAGTGTGCATTACCAAGCCCAGCTAGTTTTATGTGTTTTTTTTTTTTTTTTTTTTTTTTTACTTCATG